AAGACCATCGCGATACATGGCCTGCAGGGTGCTTTGCATTCTCGGGTTTCGGGTGTAGGGGTTTTGGGTTCCAGGCTTTAGGGATAAAGGGTTTCGGGTTCAGGGTTAACTAGGGTTTAGCGTTTAGGAGAGGTTTTGGGACTCCAGGACATAGAGCGGGCGGGGTTGTTAGTTTAGGGCTACACGATCTGGTTTGATCGGTTCAGGTGTCCACTCTGCCGCCTGGAGCGTTTGGTCGTTCCTAGACTCCCAGACTTTCATCCCACACGCTGGAACTACCCGTTCTCGCATGCACCTAACAAGACCTGTACCCAAGAGTGTTTTAGAAATTCAGATCTGAACCCGAATTCTAAACCCCAAACCAAGCGTAACATCCCGCTCAAGTCGCTCAAAACCCTCCTGGGCCTGCCCAGGGGCAGATGCTGCGGCCACATCAGCAGAGCCCAAGCGGCCACATAAATGGCCTTTCTATTAAAGAAAAGCTGGAGAGCAATCCTGTCTTCATACAGATTGTGACGTCTTGGTAACCATCCGGCGCATCTTGACTTTTAGACTCGCCTGAGGGCCTCGACATGGAAGCTGAAGCCCTCACAGGCTTCTTGCATGTGCCAAGTGTGGTTGCTCTATGCACGGAAGGACTCATTACGGGACTCCATGGATAATCCAAAGTACCAACACGAGTGCCTCAGGTTGGAACCCTCAACCTCCAACCCGAAGGCAAGGCATCCAAATGGACACCGGCCTTCTTAACTCGTGCTCGTTTCGACATCAATACCACAACTTCAGCAAAAAAGCTACCTACTCACCGGAGAAGACCTTCTGAAAGGAACCAAACTTGAAGATAAGCTTTGAGAGAAGAGGCGAGGTTGCCCCAGACCGCGAGAGGAGGGAGGGAGAGCATCCCATCCTCAGGTCGGGAAAACTTGTCACAAGGGCTCTTCACCAAGGCTTCCGAAACTTTTGTTTACTTTCTTTAATGGGTTCCTGCATGATAATGCTCCTACTACTTGCGGTCTAACTGAGGGTCCCTTGTTTTCTGGAACCCCCCGGGGGAGAAGCTTCAGGAAGTTTACTGATTTGGTTTCCGTCCCTCGCGCCTTTCTGTGGTACGCGTGACAGCTTCGGTGATGACGAGCCTGGGGACCTTCGTATAATGAGGAAAGAATTCTACGAACGACATCTCCAGCTTGTGAGGTCCTGGAGGTCAGGGCTTCTCTTCCAAAGGGGTCTTCTCCGGATCCCACCCCGCCTCAGAAAACACTCAGGACTCAGGAACCAGGTGAACCAATGCCCCGGCAGAGAATCGAAGGTACAAAACAACCCAGCAAGCAAGATCCCCATGACATGCGTGGGGAGTCCGCATACTTGCAACGCAGTGCGCACCTGTATGCGTTCAGACTAGACTCGCTAGACACAGGCATGCAAAGTCTCAACCCCAAAGACCTGACCTCCAAATAAGCCCCCCACAAGAGCGTTAACTTAAACTGTAGCCCTGAATCCTGGACCCTAGCCGTACAAACTAAACCCCACAACGCAAATCAATCCCTTCTCCGAGGAAGCGATAAGCTAAGCCCAATCTGAGTGGCTCCGACAGACGTCAGGCTCGTGGCCACGAAGCGGTTAACGAACCTCTGACTTACGGTTCTGGCTCGCAACAAGGGCTACATGCGGGCTGTTCGGCATCCGTGAAGGTTCTGTAAGGGTCGTGTGTAGGGCTGTGGTTGAGGATTTAAGATTCGGTGGTTTTGGCTGGGGATCTAGGGCTAGAGCTTAGGGCTTCAGTTGGAAGTAGACCTTTTCAGGATCTGCGCATTGAGCAATCGAATCGAATGACGACGACGAGCGTAGCGGCGGTGATAGCGGTCGTAACCATAATGGTTCAATGACGACGATCCTGGTGAAGAAGCCGATGGCGAAGAAACCTGCGATGAGAAGAAGGGGAGCAGCCGCGTGCCGATCAGGAGGAGCAGGACAAGGACGGCGACGAGGGTGATGGTGAGGGTGAGGGTGATGGTGATGATGACGATGATGGTGATGATGATGATGATGATGATGGCGAGGGTGAGGATGACGACAATGATGATGATGACTGCGATGACGAACGACGATGATGATGGTGAGGGTGAGGGTGAGGATGAGGATGTGGATGACGACGGTGATGATGATGATGATGATGGCGAGGGTGAGGATGACGACAATGATGATGATGACTGCGATGACGAACGACGATGATGATGGTGAGGGTGAGGATGAGGATGTGGATGACGACGGTGATGATGATGATGATGATGATGATGCCGTCGGCAATGACGATGAAGATGAAAATGCGAATGCAGATGAAAACTAGTGTTTCGATGATGTTTGGTGCTCGGACTTTCGGTGCTTCTCACCTACGCCTACTCTTGGCTCTGGCACGAAAGCCCGTGGAAGGTCCCAAGTCCCCACACTCTGCCATCCAGGCTGCGGTTGCGCCTGTTTCCCCCACATCTTGGGCTAGATTTGGGGAATCCAAAGGAGGCCGGGAACTTGAGCCTGAGGCCACGGACAGATGAAGAGTTTAGGAGACCGTATGCAGGTAAGCATAGGCTCAGCGATTCTACGGGTTTCGGGTTCGGGGTTTCGGAGTTTAAGGCGCAACCTCGCGAGGACTTCAAACTTGACTTAAGCTTACGAGCTTACGAGGCCCTGACTTGCTGTTGTCGTCGCCAAACTCTTGAAGCTTCCAAGCGCGGCTTCGGGATTATGAGCAAGCGCTGTCCTTCACTGCTAAACTAACATCACGGTGAGTAGATCCGTTTTCAACTGCTTCGTGGTGTCTTGTGGAATAGCTTGTTGGTATTCGTGCCCCTGGGATAAAAGATCAGGCTTTCCGATCAAGGCTCTGGGCTTCGGATGGGTCCTCTGCGCCTGCTGCCTTGGCCTAAGCGCACCCCTCGGACAAACCGGAACATATGTCCTGAATCTAAAACGGTTCTCGGCTTTGTGCCGTTTGTGGGTCCGCCCTCATCCCTAAACCCTGAACCTGAAATCTATAGCGTACATGCTCTATCTAGTTTATCACACACATACACAACATACACAACACTTTTGTCTATATTACATAAAAACATATATATATATATATATATATATATATATTTATATATTTATATTTATATTTATATTTATTTATTTGTTTATATTTATATTTATATTTATATTTATATTTATATCTATATTTATATTTATATTTATATTTATATTTATTTATATTTATATTTATTCATTGTGCACACATATATAATAAATACACATATACATACATACATATATATATATACATACATATGTGTATATATATATATATATATATACATATACATACACACACAAACACATGTACCCACCACCTGATTTTGATGACAGAAATGACGATTGCCTTGATGCCGCATCCCGACGAGGTCCAAGTACCGAAGCTCTGGCTTCTGCCCCACATACTAACCCCCAGTCCCAGTTTCAAGTAGTATATAGACATTCATGTGCAAATGTGCCATATAGAATATGTATAACGTATCACATGAAACATAGCATGTCGAAAGCCCAGTGCCCTCTTTTCGCAAAGATGCGCTCGAGTTACGCAAAATCATCATGATCCTCGTCTCTGTGCCGCTTCGGAGACTGCTTCGGAGACTCAAGACACCCAACCTAACCCAATGACCTTACCGTCGCTCCAGCCCAGCAGAAGACCCTGAGTCAAAACTCACAAAAGAGAACCGGACATACTCAAAACGAACTGAGTCCATACACCTAAGCTCGAAGAACTGTCGTTTGCTCTTTCAGTGCCAGGCAGGACTCCGACTCTTCAGGGCTTTTAAATCTTAGTTCTCTTTCAAGAGCCATGGCGCTTTCTGACTTCAGGGGTTTCAGGTTGCGGGGTTTGGGGATTCAGGGGTTCAGGTGCCACGGCTATACTATGAGCTCTTCTATGGAAAACCGTCTTCTTCTCCACAGGCGCTTCTGGCGCAATGCAGCGGCAAGTTGCTATTGAAAGTGCTTTTGCAGGAGCAGGGTCGAAAAGTGACGGAAGCTCTGAGAACTCCAACTTCCAATCGGCTCCGAATTGCTTTAGGATTTAGGGCTTAAGGCTTAAGGGATGTAGGCTTGGGAGTGTAGGAAATAACTGGGGGATCAACGCAGCCCATCTCCTTTGAAACTTGCAAGTACTTGAACGTCCATCCCGTGTTTTCTCCTCATATCCTAAAACCCTAAAACCCAAGCCCAAAGCCCAAGACCTGGAAAGGAACGCTGCCCCGAAGGTTAAAGGGGCCTTTGGGCTAGGCTCTTCCGGTGCTTCTAAGCTTCTACGGCTTAGTGTCCAGGGTTGTAGATTTCAGGGCTTTTCGTTGTTGCAACTTCTGATTATGGCTTGTAAGGATTGGGGTTTGAATCAGGGTTGAAGTTTTGTGATCTCGAAAAAACTACCCTGCTCCAGCGTCGACCCCTGCGAAGTCTCCAAACCCAAAGGAGCTCCCCTGCCCGCCTCTCTCAAATTTGCCGGTTTCGGAGTGCCTAAGGTTCAGGCTTCCAAGTTCAGGAGTGTGGCATTCGGGTTCGGTTCTGGCTTAGGACGTAAAGTTAGCAGTTAGGCGTGAGAGTCTGCGCCCGCAACCCTTGACCCAAAACACGAAACCTATATAAATATCGTATCCGTCGAGCTTAGGAAAGGAAGTTGTCTGGGCGTCCGGGTTTCAAAGTTGCTTGACCTCTGTAGATCTAAACTCAACCTTCTTGAGAATCTCTGGACGCACTCGCCCTGATGCAGTAGCGGCGCTTGGGGTTGGTTTGGATTCAGGGCTCATGGTAGCAACGTCGTACTCCAGAACCAGCAACTCCCCACTCTCCAAACGCCTCCAACAGACTTGCATGAGCTTTTTCTTGCATCTAAAGTGATGCTTTCTGTGAGAGCTCTAGAGGCAGGGAAGGTCGTGCGAAGCCTCGGAAGCCTATGCCAGGCGCAGATCTCACGACTCCGCAGGGGGATCCGCCTTCTGCCAGGCGTCCACCTCCGCAGGATCAGAAGCGAGGCTCTGGTTTCAGATTCAGATTCAAGGTTTAGGTCTAGGATTCCGGGGTTCAAGGAGCCTCGTGAGCTAAGACTCGGCATCCCAAACCCTGAACCCTAAACAGGCAGAAAAACTCAAGGCACTCATAGCCCAAAATCCAAGTGCCCCAAATCCCCACGGGCCTCACAGTCCTCAGCCCTGAACTCTGCCAAACCAAGACACAACGCACCGAAATACTGGGACTAGGGGGTTTGGGGTTGAGGCTTTCAGGTCTAGGGATTAGGGCGGGGCGTCAACACGTCCACTAAGCCTAAGCCTAAGCCACGCAAGACCCCGAAGCACCCCCAAACCGCCGAAAGAGAAACCGGGCGAGCCCCTGGACCCCTGAACTTCCGCCCTGCTCGACCCTACCCGCAACCCGGCGCTGCTGAATCTGGACACCCCTCATAATTCTCAGACAGCAGATAGGTGTTGCGTTGATAGGAGATTTGGGGTTTAGGAGTTTAGAGTTTGGGCCTGAGGCGCAGCCCGAAACCAAAGCGCACTCTTTATCAGCCCTCACCTGGATCGGCTGACCATTGATGGTCTGGCCAGGAAGAGACTGCATGGCTGCTGCCGCCTCTGGCGCTCTCTCTGGGCTGATAGGGTTTCCGACGGCTTGTCCCGGGCTTGCCATGGTTTTGATGAGAAAGGCTTGTCAAGGATCTGACAATGGCTTGGATGTTTAGGTTGTTTAGGCTTGAAAATGCCCTGAAATTGGTGTGTATATATATATATACTACTCTTCACACAACACATTCAGGCTATGTTGCAACATGTTTGTGCAAGTCCGCCTTGATGCATCTGTCGTCGCTTCCATGCCAACGTTACCCGCTAACCATGACATGATGCTCCTGTTTACGTTGGAGATTTGTCGGGATTCTCCCTTTCCGAGTTGTGAAGAGCGCTCGACCACAATCCTGCACAAACGCTTCAGCCGCTCCGTTTGCAAACGTCAGGCTTCAAGGCTGAGAGGGATCCAGGATGCACGCATCCTTCTGTTTTGAGATTTTGTGGCTTGGGGATCGGGTAGAGGTATGACTGAGAATGGTCAAAACGAGTGTAACTGTATGACTACATGTAAACGCAATCATTGATTCAATAGTCCTCCATGGGGCGAATCCAATCAACCATATTCGACAAAATCATCCCGAGCTGATCATACAAACGTCAAGACTTTTGTGCTTGCTCTCATGTGCCATGAGCAGCATAGGGACTGTAAGAAGACTCGTCACGACCTGTTTCTCGGTTACACTCAAGAGGGGTCGTTGTCTGAAGGCTCCTTCAGTCTGCAACGTGTCCGTCTTCAAGCTTCGTCAAGCCCAGAATCCACAGAAACCCTCGTAGTACCTCTGAAGGTACCCCTTACTCACGGAGCCTCTTCGGCTGTCTTGTAGGCGATCATTCCGGTTCCCTTGCCTGGCCAACGAGCTTCTGTCGAAAGCCTACTGCACAACCAAACGACTCTAAACCTCCAAACCTTACCCTGCGGCCTAAACCCACCAGATTGCCCAAGCCCTCACGCAGAAAACATCTCTCAAGACTCCTAAAACCTCTCAGGTTGCAGGCTTTAAGAGTACTCGGGCTTGGCGGGGTCTACAGGGTTGAGGGATTCTCACAGACCTGGACGGTCCTCAAGCCCTACAAAAACCGGGTGACGAAATTATGCAGGAGCCTAAACAATTACAATCTGGGTTTGGGCCATATCATGCCATACATACGTAGATCAAGGGACTATTAGGAATACGACTCTGATGATTAATGCCTCGGTATTGACCAAAACACTTCAAGGACACAGGGCATGGTGAAGGACCAATACAAGAAGCAGCAGCGAATGGAGAATAACTACTTACCACCTACAAGAAATATCCACTTTCCACCCGAGCATACGGGCTGATGGAGTTCACTTTCGGTGCTTCGGATCTTTGACTCTGGGGAAGAATCTGAATTTCCAGGCGTGTCGCTGATTGAAGTTGCTGCCTTTAGGGCTGAAGGCTTCGGGGTTGGCTGCCGGAGAAGTCGATGTGACATACTGTAAGCTCTGTGTTACGTCGTGTATTGATTTGTATTTTTGTATATTATGCATAACATCTTTTACGGGGTTTACAGGTTGAGCGCTCGTGAGTGGTTGTCCTGACTTGGACCTCCTTCAACGGACCCCCTGACATGCCAAAGCCTAACATGGGGGGTCCGGGCCGTTGATGGCTGGGCTATCCCGGAATGCTACAACGTACTATGCCGACTCCCAGATGAACCAGCCCCAAAACTATGAAGCAGGGTACCTTGCATCCTGAGCCAAAACAGCAACCCGCAATCATCCTGGCCCGCAGACAGTAGACCCCGAGACGTGCACGTAAATGACAACCCCGAACCTCAGGTAGTGCCCGAAGTTCTTACCCAACTTGCGCCTTTTCCTTGGAAGACCTCCACCCAGCGCGTCGTGCCGGCGGTGTTTCCGAGGGTCTGGAGATCCTGCAGAGTTGCTGGGGGAGGCGGAGGGCTCACTATTTTAGAGTCTACGGTATCAGGTTCGGGTCCTGTTTCTCTTGAAGTCTGCAGCACATTCACCTCCGCCCTGTCCAGGGCTCTTAAGACGAATAAAATGGGAATTGTCGAGGATCGCTTCGGAAAAGCCCGGAATCCTGAAGTTCCGACAATCTCCCACTCCCCACACCACAACACTGCGGCCCCAGGTTAGACTACCGGTCGAGCAAGAGCCCCCGTACCCTACCATCCCAACCGTAAACCAAAGTTTCTGGACCCTGAAGGTCATGAATCAACAACTCCCAGCACTCAGGGACGGCTCCTTCCATGTGGCATCTTCCGGGAGGTTCCCGATCCAAATCCTGAAGCTGCTACTAATTCGATGTGGGTTGGGGCGTGGGTTTGCTAATGTTACCGTTGTTGCTATCGATATCGTTATTGCTGTTGCTACAGTTCTTTGTGCGTTTCTGGCATTAAGAATTGGAAGCAAAGCTGGCAGTATTGGTGCTCATGCTTTCGTCAGCATTGTCAACAACCCTGTCATTACAAATAGTACGAGTTCTTTTGCTTGTATTAAGCCCTAAACCCCAAACTCAAAACTAAACGGTACTGCCTATACCCCAGCCTGTCACCCCAAGCCCTCGACATTCAGAGCTTGCTTCTCGCGGTAAACCTTGAGCTAAGTGCAGCCCAAGCTCTTCATGGCGGGATCAATCCTGCCAGCTTCGGTTTAAGGTTGAGGGTTCAGGGGTCAGGGTTTAGGGTCGAGGGTTCAGGGTTTAGGGTCGAGGGTTGAGGGAGAATCGATCGTTGTAATAATGGATCCAAGTGACTGCTCCTTCAACGTCTATACAGCAAATCTGATTCATGTGAAACGGCTTTTGCGATCGAGAGTCTGTATTCGAGTCTGTGCTCTTGGATCTCCTACTTTACTTGGTTGTCTTGGGCTGCGCTGAGCTTGGGAATGTGAAGGAGTTGGGAGCGGGGCTTTTTGCCTCCGGGTTGAAACTCTACTCTCATGGGTTAGGGATCGCCCTTCAGCAACAAAGAGATGAAGAAGTACACCTTCCTGACGTGGTCCCGAAAGCTGGAGCCTTGAGCCTTCGAACCTCAAAATTGGTTGTGGACCGGACGGATGCAAAGGTCATTTAAGACTGCTTGAAGCGTTTGTGAAGTTCCCTTTTGGCGTCTTCGGGTTGTCGGTATCCGGAGCTTGGGTCTCCGATTGCTTGACGTGTTCAAGAAATTCCTCAAGCTTTCAGCTTCGTAGCTTGCACCCAGATCCTGTAGGAAAGCTAAACTCTGTCAATGCGGTTGTTCGAAATCTGACGAACATACTTCCGTGCGATTCTTATAACCGAAACCCCAAATCGGTATCCGTAAGCCACAACTCGCAGAACGGCACTCAGAACCCATCGAAGCCCAACAGCCGATCCATGCTCCTGGGCCCACGGCGCCAGCCCTTGCCCTTGCCGAATCCCTTCGGGAACCAAGGCCTCACTCACGAGTTTCTGGGGGTGTAAGGCTTTGGGGTCTTGAGGCGCGTGGTTCTGGGGCGAAGGATTTTGGCGTTTAGAAGTTTAGACTGCTTTTTGCTCTATGGACATCATCACCATCATCATCATCATCATCAAACAACATCCGTAGCAACATGGATGTCCTTGTCGGCACCATCGTCTCCATCGTGACCAGCACCACTACCACCATCACCAAATGAATACAATCCTCATCGGAGTCCTCAGCATGCCTTATCATCCTAATCCTCCGACTACGGCCCACAAATTCTAGTGGCAACCTGAGACTCTGAGACCAAACGTCCGAACGTCCTCGAGCTCTAACGCATCCCGAAGACTGCAGAATTTTGAAGCCTGCATAACAACTGTGCCATCATCCCCGGCAAACCCCATAATCATCCCTTGTGACACCCTTGTGAAGCCTTTGTGAAATCCTATAGGATCCCTTAGAACCGTACATGATTTGCAAAGAACCCTCAAAAAAGAATCTGAGAAGAGCCCTAGACCTCTCTCCTCTTTTGGTCGAGCTGCATCGGGCCCCAGCCCCAGCCCCAGCCCTTTCCTTCACCTGGGTGGGTTCTCGATTTGGGGCTTTGCAGCTTTAGGAACTTTAGGGTTTTGGGGTTGGGGGCTGCAAGTTTAGGCCTTGAGCGTCTGGGGTTTGCGGTCATCGTAGCGGCCGGTAGGAGCCATAAAACACCATGTGCTTACAGATTCCTGATGTCCTTTTAGTCCGCTGGGCTTCCCGGAGCTCTTCCGGCTGCTAGGATAGCTTCCCTACCATAGCACAACTAGTTCCAGTTCAGCTATTCGGTGCAATGGCGAATGCCACGCTGGAAATCTGATTGACCAAAAGTACGAGGAGCTTCATTTTCAAAACCCTTCAGACGGCGGTTTCTTGATCGGGTTCTGACACTACGCGTCAGCAGCTGCAACAACGACAACTCCCCCAAATAATGTCTCAACCCACAAAAAGGCCCTCCAAAACCCTGTACAAGCCCGAAGCGTTTCAACAAAGGCCTCCTCTGCACAAGCCCTGAAACCCCAGCAGCCTCCTCCGCCCATCTTGCAGACGTCGCGAACGGGACGGCTAATGATTAGGTTTTGCTCACTGGAAGCCGAGAAGCGCGGGGAAATTGATGGTGGATTCTATCAGCGGCTATGACTGCTGGCACGACCGCGCTTGTATGATCAGTAGCTCTCAACCGGCCCTTGTTGCATCTAAAGCTGCGGCGATTTTTCACAACGCGGCTTGCAGGGTGCAGCCAAGTCGATGCAGTCGAAAGCCGAACCACCAGATCACGGTCTCGGGTGCCGCAAAGCCTGACCTCGCTCACGAGCAGTGTGCATCACAGGCTGTGAGCCTGACTATCTCCACCCCATATCTATCCTGTGCCTAAGTCTGCCTAAGTCGAGGTCCCTGAAACCTTTCTGTCCTAATCCCTCAATCCCTAAAGTCACAAACCTAAACTCTCATAAAAGCCCTATGCGGACCAACAGGCCTATACCCCCTAAAACACTAAAACGCCCACTTTATCCGAGAAGCGGGCCTACAAATACCTATAAGGCTCCAGTTGTATTACCCAAAACAAAACTTTACCCATGACCCTAAATCCTAAACCCCAATCCTACACCCGGAACTCCACGCCGCCTTTGTCTCGGCCCAGGTAGTCCCAGGAAGTCTCAAGCGGGCTTCCTCCCGGGTCCGATGTGCCACGCTTGCAGGATCTCCCGAATCTGAGCGACCTCTTCAAAGAAATTCATGTATCTGTGTGAAAAGTCTATATCATACACCGTACACGTTATATGTGTATTATATATATATATATATATATATATATATATATGTATGTATATATGTGTGTGTGTATGTATGTATATATATATATATATGATTACTGCTTGTGTACAGATAGGGGCAGAAAGCAAAAACAAGAAATCTAGAGTCCTTGACACTTGTGGTTAAGTCAAGGGTCCAGCGCCGGGCGTATCACTTGGGGCTTAGGGTGTATGTTGTATACCTTTGTTGCTGGTCACCTAGGCCGTTGGGATCAGGTTTGAGAGATGCTTTTTCACCACCACCGCCTGGGCTGCTGTAATCGGAGATGGTGACATCAGGTGGTAGTGGTTTTGTGGCAAATCCGAAGGGTTGGCGCCTTTGTAATGCGCCCCGATGTGAAACACGCCATCCTCGACAACCGTAGTCCAATTTCCTTCGACTTTCCTGAGCTGACAAATGCTCACAGCTACTCGAGGATAATCCTTCTGAGCTCTGTCTGAATCTCGTCCATTGCCTTTACAAAACACGAAGACATATTCCAGATGATCTGAGCACACCCCCTCTGATCACAAAGCGTGAACATAGCTCCAACACACTCCAACTCCCTGGTAGTCTTACCTTCCCATGGTACCCTGCCGGGGTGGTCTTTTCAAGAGATCGAGGCTCTGAACCACTAAAGTAGGCAAATGCAACCCCTCCATCTCCGCAATACACCATCCTAAGTCCTACCCCTTGTGTCGCAATCGGAATTGCTGTCCATTCTACAGGCCATTCCCGAGCTGCCCTGCCCAGCGGAACATGCCGCCCGATACTTCAACTAACCCATCCATTCAGCACACTTCCGAATAAACTCTTGTATACAGCTCTCACAGCCTACAGCTTCGTGTCCACAGGATTGCTTAGGGCTTAGGGCTTAGAGGCGTAGCCAGGCCAAACACCCAGGCACGGTGATTGTTGCGCCCGTTTGCTTCCGTGGTCCTGACTGCACCCTCCACCCCTCCGCTGCGAACCCATTTCAAAATTATGTCGTTTCTTACAGCCGAAGTTAACTGTTACGAACGAACCACCGAACAGCAAATCGGAAGTCGGCATCAACAAGCTTGGAAGGATTGGCATAAGCGCCGATGTCCTCAGCACTAAAGATCCGAGGAATGTGTCTTGCTTTAAATCATACTGTACACTTCCACCCTCAACCCTGGAGGGTAAAGTCCGATAAACTCGACTCAAGAACAACAGCAACGCCTGCTCTCTTCCGATGCAGCCGTGGCGTCTTCTTGACTGAGGACATGGCCTGCTCAAGTCATTCTGGCACTCAAGCAGCCAAACATGTATCTCGTGTTGCGCTCGTTCTGGGTTGAGACAAGCACTAACCAGTAGGTGCTCCACTGACCCTTCAAGAACCAGCTAACTCAAGCCTCCAGACTGCAAAACCCTGTGGAAACGCTTTGTGTGTCTCAGCTAAGCGGAGGCGCAGAGGTGGAGGCGAAAAACGCGAAAACGCGAAAAACGCGAAAAGCGCGAAAAACGCGAAAACGCGAAAAACGCGAAAAACGCGAAAAACGCGAAAAACACGAAAAAAACGAAAAACGCGAAAAACACGAAAAACATTAAAAAAGGCGAAAAATCCGATGATAGTAGTGGTAGAAGTAGCAGTAGTAGTAGTAGTAGTAGTAGTGGTGGTAGTAGTAGAAGTAATAGTAGTAGTAGTAGTAGAAGTAGTAGTAGTAGTAGTAGTAGTAGTAGTGGTAGTAGTAGAAGAAGTAATAGTAGTAGTAGTAGTAGTAGTAGAAGTAGTAGTAGTAGTAGTAGTAATAGTAGTAGTAGTGGTAGTAGTAGTAGCAGTAGTAGTAGTAGTGGTAGTAGCAGTAGTAGTGGTAATAGTAGTAATGTAGTAGTAGTAGGAGTAGTAGTAGTAGTCGTAGTCGTAGTAGTAGTAGTAGTAGCAGTAGTAGTAGTGGTAGTAGCAGTAGTAGTGGTAATAGTAGTAGTGTAGCAGTAGTAGTAGTAGTAGTAGTAGTAGTCGTAGTAGTCGTAGTAGTAGTAGTAGTAGTAATGGTAATCGTAATGGTAATAGTAATAGTACTAGTACTAGTACTAGTACTAGTACTAGTACTAGTACTAGTAATAGTAATAGTAATAGTAATAGTAATAGTAATAATACAGAACAGGGGACCCTGGGAGTGCGCATCTGCCGTGATTTACGCGCGAGTCTTTTTAATTTTAAATATCGTAATTGGATACTAATAGAAGTTTTATCTTTAATCTCATGTTCGTTATTACGATACTGGTTCGTTATTGTCGATTTTCATAATCTTGATTATATGTGATCTTATTGTATATCAATCTCTATATGAAGTCAATTATTTGGAAGACCTAGGCTTTCCTAAATGGGTGCATATCTATATATTGTATTGGCCAACAACTTTATAAGCTTAAAGAACGTATTATGCTTGCATGTTAAATTATATTTCGTTCTTGTTAGAGGATTTGTTCATTGATTTATATGTTTAACTTGTCCACATATCAATATGCTTTCTATATTTCGATTATTCTTCTGAATATGACTATAAATAAAATATGATAAATACATGTATGTGCCACTTTACTACGCATTTGTTGCTGGTAATCCAATATGCTTTCTATATTCCGATTATTCTTCTGAATATGACTATAATTAAAATATGATAAATACATTTATGTGCCACTTTACAACGCAATTGTTGCTGGTAATCTATAGAATATCGGTTTGGTGTGTGTTGAAAAGTTTCGTATATCTAGTGCTATTGTTGTCTATATTTGGATTGAATATTCGGTTATTATCGAAAAATGTATCGATAAGAGTATTAATGCAAAAGGCATGGTTGGTGATAATAATAGGAATATAATCAAATAAAATATCACTTATAGATCAGAAGTTTGTACTACATCTAGAAGCATGCTCCACACACTGATATGTGTATGTAACTATGTATGAATAGTGAGAAGTCGACATTTGTCGATTAATGTAAGGCACGTTATAATATATATATATATATATATATATTTATATTTATATTTATATTTATACATATGCCGAGCTCTCTATTATGCACAATGTCACACATACATATGAGGGTATATATACATATATATATATCCGTATTTGTATATGGATATATATAATAATATATATATACATATGTATATACACTTATCCGTATATCTTTATTCTGCGTATATATCTATGCGCATGATAGCCTCATCGAATGTAAGTGCGCCATCCCGCCCTCCAAGTTCACGAAGCGAACCTGGTATATGATCACCACGAAACTCCGACATGGCTTCAGAGATACGAAACGAGAACACCAAGAAAGACTGTTTGAGCTTTCGTGGCAACGATATAACAGCTTGCGAACGAGAAAGGAAGAATGTCGGTTGTGTACTCATACGTTGGTACACATGTGTGTAGACAAAGTTGAATGAATGCTTGTTTAAGTATGTGTGCGTGTGCCTGTATCCTATTCTCGCAGGTTGTTCAATAGGTGGCTCGACCATGCGATACATAAATTTTGTGGAAAAAGGTGCACTCCCACAGCCCCCCGGGTAATAGAAATAGTAATAGAAAAAGTAATAGTAATAAGAAAAAGTAATAGTAAGAGTAGTAGTAATAGTAATAGTAATAGTAATAGTAATAGTAATAGTAATAGTAATAGTAATAGTAATAGTAATAGTAATAGTAATAGTAATAGTAATAGTAATAGTAATAGTAATAGTAATAGTAATAGTAATAGTAATAGTAATAGTAATAGTAATAGTAATAGTAATAGTAATAGTAATAGTAATAGTAATAGTAATAGTAATAGTAGTAATAGTAATAGTAATAGTAATAGTAATAGTAATAGTAATAGTAATAGTAATAGTAATAGTAATAGTAATAGTAATAGTAATAGTAATAGTAATAGTAATAGTAATAGTAATAGTAATAGTAATAGTAATAGTAATAGTAATAGTAATAGTAATAGTAATAGTAATAGTAATAGTAATAGTAATAATAGTAATAGTAATAATAATAGTATAGTAATAGTAATAGTAATAGTATAGTAGTAATAGTAATAGTAATAGTAATAGTAATAGTAATAGTAATAGTAATAGTAATAGTAATAGTAATAGTAATAGTAATAGTAATAGTAATAATAATAGTAATAGTAATAGTAATAGTAATAGTAATAGTAATAATAATAGTAATAGTAATAGTAATAGTAATAGTAATAATAATAATAATAGTAATAGTAATAGTAATAGTAATAGTAATAGTAATATAACAGTAACAATAAAAGTATTTTGTGCGAAGCACGCTAATGAAACGCGCATACGCGAAAAAGGCGAAAAACACTAAAAGTCGAAAAACACGAAAAACGCAAAAAACACGAAAAACGCGAAAAACGCAAAAAACGCTAAAAACACGAAAAACGCTAAAAACACAAAAAAAACGCTAAAAAACACGAAAAACGCGAAAAGTAATAGCAGTGGTCATAATAATAGTAACGAGCAATAGTAATAATAATAATAGTAATAATATAATCTTAATAGTAGTAGGAAGTAGTAATAGTTGTTTAGTGTTTTTCGTGTTTTTTGCGTTTTTTTGTGTTTTTTTTGCGTTTTTCGTGTTTGTTGCGTTTTTCGACTTTTCGTGTTTTTCGACTTTTTGCACGCTGAGCGCCGACTCCGCTTGTACACGACGCGCAAAATGCTCGCTTAGGCAAAACCTCCCCCTTCACCCCTTCAAACTCTAAACCACCAACTACACCCTAAACCCTTATGCCTCCCCTCCCATAAAAGAAAAAGTGAATCACCACCGCCTTCTGGAGGACTTTCGTGGTCAGCTCCCTCAAGCTCTTCCCCTCCGTGGCCACCGTGAGCACCGAGGGCTCCAGGATGCCGGCGTGCTTGAACCAACCTTTGCCCGAGAGGCCAAGGTCGAGGTACCTCGCGCCGCGTTTTAGGATTTAGGGCCTCAAAGGCGTCTAGGGAGCACTTCGGATTGCTAAGGTTTCATTGCTGCAAAGCGGCTCTCCTGCACTTGCTGACGTCTAAGACGACAATGCAGACTGTTTTGGGACTTCGTGCCGCTGGGATTTAGAGACGTGTTCCACAGAGTGCGAGCAAGCACAGGCCTTTAAGGCTTCAGTGCTTCCAAAAAGCCCCTAGGGATGCGAAAAGGGAGGGAAAAAAGGGAGGGGCATCCCAAGCAGGAGACTTTACAACTGTTTGCTGGGGCGTTTCGGGCCAGCAGGCCTACAGGAGATACAGCTGCGCGTGCATACGTCATGCACCTCAGCCCACTACAGGAAAGTGACCTGGGTTTTGAACGCCTAAGCAGCAATACCTGTTCATTGCTGCAAAGCGGCTCTCCTGCACTTGCTGACGTCTAAGACGACAATGCAGACTGTTTTGGGACTTCGTGCCGCTGGGATTTAGAGACGTGTTCCACAGAGTGCGAGCAAGCACAGGCCTTTAAGGCTTCAGTGCTTCCAAAAAGCCCAACACCCCGCACTGGACGCAACACCTCTAAGCGGCCGGAAAAACCCCACAAAACTTATGCACCCTCAAATGGTGCGCAGTCAGATACACAGAAGTGTCTATACACTTCGACAGAAAAGGAGTGATCACGAATGGGCGCAGATCGTGAGCCCACCCTCCAGAGCACAGCTCCTGGCATCGCCCACTGCCAGTCGAAGGCAAAGCTTGAGCAGGTCCCAAGCCTCACTCGCGAAGAGCCCGGTGCCCTAAAGGAGAGCGACAGCGGCAGAAGTCTCTGATTTGATAAAAACTAATTAGACCCGCATGGGCCTTCTGGATGTTTTGAGGAAGTTTCTCTTCACAGGATAAACAGCTCTTTTTCCTCGGGATGGGCCATCCGCCGGATTTGATTCCGAAGGGATGTACACGAGCCGCAACAAAAGATTGCAGGCCAGGGAGTGCGCAGCTATGCTGCGAAGCACCCGTCGCAAGCTGTTTGCTGAGCTTCGGCCTTTGCTGATGCTGCCGATGGCAGCTTTGGCATCCACAAGAACGACGACCCGATGGCCCTGTCGTGCGCGACTGCGGCACACCCACTTCACCGTCAGCAGTACTCCATGGCACTCCAGAACTCCGGAGTGGGCGGGCCACTTGGCCGGAGTGGAAATGAGAGGCTTGAAGTCGCCCTTGCAAAACGGCAGCTTCCGTGGTACTCCAAGCCTGGGCACTTCAGGCTCGTCCCCTTCTGCAGCTTGCAAACGCACGTAGTCACCTCGCCGCTCAGAGTAGCGACCCACTTCTTCAACGAGCTTGCGCCCACATGCGAGTGAACACACACCAAAGCCGTACTGCGGCGCAGCGTCACAGGCCAAGAGCTCAGGGAGAAAGGGCCTGTCCAAAGCTGCAGGGAGCAACGGCGAAAGTACCAAGCACACGAGCAGCTCGTTTTTCACAGCGGCAGGCAGAAGAGCTGGCTTCCATGAGGGCTCCATCTGCACGAACCTGTAGATTGCATTGAAGATGCTGAACAAGCTGCGTTGCAGTAGACAAAACCACTGAGCTGTACCCAAGACGCTGTTAACCGCCGCAGGGCTGGCAGCGGGGGCCTCCAGTAAGTCACACACAGCGGCCACAAACTTGGCCAGTTTCTGCTTGCACGGCTCCACCAAAGGCGGCTCAGCTGAGATGTCACATCCGAGCGCAGTCATTTCAGCTGCAAGCGAGATGTCTTTGTTGACGTTCCTGGCGACACCGTTCTTGTCAAACACTTTGTCCAGCTTAGACAATGTACGACGCCCCCTAGCCGGGCAGCGATGAAAGAACAAGGTGTCGTCAGTGGCCACGGCACACAGTTCCTTCTGAGAGCCAGGCAACGCGTGGTCCAGGCTGAGGATGCAACGAGGATCGACGCCAGCATCCGTCAACAAGCCGATGGTGTTCGACTGCGCCACGCAGGAGGACCAGCTGAAACCCATGGGCCAAGCAGCATGCACAGGAAAAAGCAGCGTCTGCGCTAACAAGCCTTCTCCCTGAGCAAGGTCGTCAACAAAGCCAATGACTTCCGCCAGTGCGAATCTTCCTTGTGATAAAAGCTCGTGCAGTGCTACAGGCTCCTGGCCAAACCAAGGCTGCAGATCTGAGGGGACCGCAAGCAAATCAAAGTAAGTAGCGGCATCTCGCTTTGACATGTACAAGCGTTCACCACGACGGACCACGATGTCGAGAAAAGAGCTTGGATTTGCCAGCCGATAAGGCTTAGGAGGCTGAGCAGCAAATTCCGAGAGGACCGAGCCGTCCCAGATTTTCCGCTGACGGCCTTTGGTGCTCTTTGCCGCTGCAAAAACCCCAGCAACACCAAACACCTGCGTGCGTAGGCGGAGCTTCTTGCACCGCAGCTCTCTGCAAGTAAGATCAATATACTCCTTTCTCTCCATGCCGAAAGTCTTGGTGAAGCCCAAACACTGCTGGAAAGACTGAGGCTCTTCAAAGATAGCTCCTGGCCTACAAATAGTTGCCCACCGTCCAGGATCCACGAGGTTTCCAGGGTCACACGTAGCTGCGCGAGTCGGCAGGTCCACGTCGCCACCACGGATGCGTTCGTAGCCTGCGCTGTTTCGCCCAAAAGTCTGCAGCGATCCCTTGTAGGAGAACGGCCCGTCACTGATGGAGTTGAGGCGGGTGCAAAACCGGACCACTCGCTGACAGACATGCTCTTGCACAGCCCGCTGGGCAGCTGTGCAGCCTTGTCCCAGCCGAGAGCACGAAGTTTCTGGCATGCCATCGCTCAAGTGATTCAATGCTGCACAGCACAAGTCCGCACAAGCCAAAAGACCATTGCGGCTCTGCTTTCCATCAGCAATGTGAGCTGGCCAACTCCGCAGGCGGGGCAAAGGGAACAGGTCGCGGCGCGTCGGCCTTTGCCCCCTCGACTCGCCTGAAGCCGCAGCTTTCGCGAAAGGAAGCTTGGACTTCTCAACGAAGGTCGTGAGGAATCCTGCGTAACCCTCAGCAAAAGGAGTTTCTTCACAGCGAACTCCCGCTTCATGGGCAACTGTGTGGCAACCTTTCGTATTGCAACTGGAATCCAAGACAGCTCGAAGCTTAGAACACAACTTGTGCCGAAGAGCCCTGTCGGTTTCTGAAGACCCGAGCCGGTGAAGATCTTCCACAAGCCCCTTGAAAGCCTGCACTGCAACATGCCATCTTATCCTCTCCCAAAGGGCGGCCAACAGCATGCAACCAGGCTGCACTCCCACAGATACAGGAAAGCCACCACCACAGCGGGGGCATCCCAAGCAGGAGACTTTACAACTGTTTGCTGGGGCGTTTCGGGCCAGCAGGCCTACAGGAGATACAGCTGCGCGTGCATACGTCATGCACCTCAGCCCACTACAGGAAAGTGACCTGGGTTTTGAACGCCTAAGCAGCAATACCTGTTCATTGGGGGATATTGAGGGCTTTGGGGTTTATTTAGAGCCCTTTGGAGTCTTACTTGGGATTTAGAATCTTCGGGCTTCAAGGTTTTTGGGGCTTTGGACCCGTGTGGTATTGCAATGAGCGGATTCATGATTTACGGTCCAGCATCGACCGTTCCAAACCTGCGCTGAGACGCAGTGGAGATCTTACCCGAAACCATAACCCAACCCCCGAATGACCAGAAATATACGTCCCAAGACCCGAATCCTGGATCCTTGATGCTTCGTCGAGATGCTTTTGGCCGTTTGAAAGAATCATCGCCCTCTCCCTTGTGCGATCCAAGGGGTCCGGAATGGCTTCCAACTCCTCCTTCAAGCTGTCAGTGAAGTGTGGTACTTTGCTGGTCTTCACCTCCGGGTGGCAGAAAACTCGGGGCCACTGTTTAAAGGGAGTCTGCAAGCAAAGACGGCTCCTTCTATGCAAGTGGGCCACGCGTGAGTATGATAAGACGGCCTCAGTCAAGTACCCATTCTTAAGCAAGCAAAAGACTGTCAGACTCTCATAAACCACTGGTAAGGCCTGCAGGTCGTAGATGCGGTACATCTCGTCGTCGCTGAGCCGTGTGGACCGCACCGAAACACGGTCGTCTTCGATGCTTCCGGCTATATCCCAGGAGCCGGTCAACTCAAACTCCCAAAGAGACTCCTGAAGGTTTCGGGTCCCGTTGCATACAAGGGGTTCTCATGATCAGGACCCTACAGTAGTTAAGGTCCTAATTGAAGTCCCCCAATGGGTCCCCTAGTTTCTCGGAGTCCTTGCTTGAAGCTCTCGTCTGGACCTCGATCCTGCTCGCCCAAACATAGACTGCCGTTGAAGAAAGCAGGAGCCAAAGCATGGGATCTCTCTCGAGAAGCCCGCAGCCTGGACAGATCTCAAGGCAAGGGGGGAAGAAGGCCACTAATCAGTCGGGTTCCCTAGTCCCAAAGGAAGATCCGGAAGAGGGCCCCTATGGGTCATATGCACATCTGGACACGCGAATGCGCTGGGTGCGTAGATCTCACAGACAAACAAGGCCAAGCGCTGGGACTCCAGAAGCCCGTCCCTGGAGCTGCTGCCCAAGCCGTGAACATAGCGCAGCGGCGTAGGACGCGGTTGGGGAAGAAGTTGGAGAAGCAGTTTGAGCAGGGGAGAAACGGCAGCAACATCGACAGAATGTGGCGATATTTTTGCGAAAGTGTAGCATGAACTCAACTGCCCTCTAACCTCCGGATCTACCTTAGTTTGATGCTGACGCGAATCCTTGCACGAATCAGCACTGTTGCCAGGTCGATGCACTGCCTCAGACTAGGCCTGGGATGCAACACAAAACCTCAAGGGTGAATCTCTCGAGTCATCCAGCTTAGTCCAAAAGAACGAAGCCTGACAATGGTTACGGTGGCTGATGGGGTTTGCTGCATTCTTTTTGAACTCCATTGAGTAGAGTTGGCTCCAGGCTCACCTGCAGGCCTAAGAGTTGACATGCTCTTGGGCTTTGCAGAGGCCGTAGGATTCAGGGTGCAAACAGGGTTTAGGGCTAGAGGCGACGGCCAGCAGTGTTTGGGGGTTTAGGCTTCATAGCACGCAGCGTTTTGGGCTCTTGGGATTTGGCAAGTAGGGCCTGCTTGGGCTTGAAGCTTTAGGAGATGCCTTGACCGCTTTCGGGATCTTCTCCCTCTTGGGTTCTTGTCAGGAAAACCGCAAGATTCAGACTCAGGTAGATCCTTGAGCCCTAGATGCAAAACTAGGCTTTACAGTTGGGTTGAAGACTGCCGGTAAGTTTGGGCTTGGACGAGGGTGTTGGATCCAGGGCTCCTCCGTCAATCCGTCACTGCAGTTGCTAGGAGAAGTAACTCAAGCTGACTGTCTGCTCCCAACACATCAAATCCTGCGAACCACCAGGACAGCTTCTGCCCGAGCCTTAGCCTTAAACTCCAAGCCCTAGCCCTAAACCCTAAAGCTGGTAAATGGCAGAATCCGGCCTCATTTGCTGCGCGTCTTATTGCACCCTCCCCAGTCTGTCTGCTCGATAGCAGCGCAGGTACTCCGCCTGAGATACATGATGACGGGTTTAGGGTTTATGGTGGTGAGGTTTAGCGGTTTTGCGTTTTTGGGGTTGGCGGTCGCATGGAGAGTTGCGGGATTGAGGCATTGAGCATCTGGAAATCTGGTTTCGGAGGTACACCTTAAAGTGTACACCGAAGCCTTTCCGACCGAACAGCTAAACAAGTCTGCAATTTACGAGGGGGCTGCGCTACGGTACTTTGGTGTAAGACTGACTGGACTTGGGGAACTTGGGGGTTGAGATACGGCTGAAAAGTACCAAGCCGCCAGAAATGGTCCAGGAACTTCTTATGCGTGGCATTTCGAAGGAACGTCTGGCGCGCATAGGCTCGCATGCCTTTGTATCCTGGGGCAGGGAGGAAGACCCTCTTGGGGTAAGGAATATGATCTAAGTGGATTCGGACACCCGACAAAGCCCAAAGAAAGCTTTCTGTATTGCTCATCCGATTCTCCGTCGTAGTTAGCCAGCACATGCCGTAAAGTGGTAGGCAGATCGCTCCAGTCGGCTTTCACAGCTACATAGGTCGCATTCGATCGGTACATATCCGGCAGTGAGAGTACCCAGTCTGATTCAGGCTTCACCACCAAAGCTCCATGAACCCAGCCGCCATGCTCGCAGCCGGTTCGCTCTCCGAATCCCCAGGCGCAAATGACAATCTTACTTTGCCTCAAATAGCTCATGTATTGGTCGCCTTTCAAGCAATTGAGCCTCGGCTCTCTGGACGAACACTTCACAAGAGGCTGAGGACAAGGCTCGCGGTTTAGCACTCGCAATTCGTAGTACTTACGCTCTGGCGCAACTTCCCTGAACTACGGACGACAGCCCAGGCTATCAACAACATGAGCCGTTTGTTTCTCTTTTGTATAGATGCTTACCCCGGCATTAGAACAGCTGCTGGCATTGCTGGTCTGCTGTTCCTTCCGCTCCTCCTCCCCTCTCTCCTCGCCTGTCCCCTTGCTCTTCCTCCTCCTGCTCTTCCTCACTGCTGGTGGTGATGTTGTCCATCGCTGCTCTTCTGCAATGACTTTCCCTGCTCGACATAAGCTTGACTCTGTTGTTCGACTTGAGAGCAGGGCGGACGAAAGCTAGGGGCAAGAAGTAGAAATGCCGCGGGATAAGCCAGTAGAGAAGCGATATGATGGCGCAGGTTGGGGAGCCTACCGTGGTGCACGTTTCGACGCGACGCGCGCGCGTGCGAGCAGCCGATGGACCACAAATAAGCATGCATAACAGAATCAGCATCCACGGCAAGCACGATAGGTCAACCCATTGATGGCTCAACCCATTGAAACCAAAAACCGACAAACAAAGGGAGCCTTGAGGGTAGGGGGGGTTGAGGGGAAGTGGGGGAGGGCCCCCCCCCCCCACCCCAATCGAAAAGCGAAGCGTGTGAAAGAGTCAAGCAAAAGGGGGAGGGGTGCGGCACTGCGAACCTCAAGTCCTTGATATATCGAACAAAAGGGGCCCTCCTTGCTAAGTTGTCCAAGAAAGAACTATGTGAACAACAACTCCTGCAAGCTCCAAGGAGCTAACTTTGGTGATTACCGGTATCACTGGAAGTATCTTCAACCTTATACAGAGGTTGCCTGCAGCCAACTGGCCCATGGACCACCTTGTTCCACGTCGCTTTCCAGTGTTCCGACTCCCCTTCGTAACAGAAGTATTGCACCTGCTTCAGCCCAGACAGCACTGGATCGGCCAAGGTCTCCTGAGGACTCCAGGGCCGACTCCAGGGCCCGGGATTTTCTATGACTCTCCAAGCAGCGGGCTCGGGTCCCTATAGGTCTGTTTCGGACGTGGTAGCATGCATAGTACCCCTTATAGTACCTGTAGGGTTCTCTTAGCCAGAGGGCTCGCAGAGCAGATCTTTGCAAGGAGTACGGGTCGTCATTTCGCAAGTGCACGGCCACGAACACCTCCAGGGCTCCAGGGTTTTAGGAAGATGTTGCAGGCTTGTGCTGTTGGGGTCCAAAGTTTGAGCATGACCAATCCATTGCTGTGAAGGCCTGCAAAGAATGCAGGGTTTGGGCTTTGGTTGGGCAGAACCCATGGATTTATTTAAAGGACGGTGCTGCTCTGTGTATTTGTTTCGAAGTGGAGCTGTGTTGGGACTTGCAACGGGTTCTACGATGTGAGCAGCCGGAGTCCCCATGCTGATCTTCTACCAACAAGATTCAGGATCTCTCTGTTTGTTAAGAACCCCACGTCGATGGGACGCGGCTTGTCCAAGATCGTGTCCGGCGTAGCATCGAAGTCCTGCAGGCACGGATTCCAGCTTCGTCGCAGAGTTGGTTTTTGCTTTGACATACCCCGATAAATATTGATCGGACAGGCCAGACAGGTGTCCATGGACCTAAAGCCCAAATCCAAAATACAATATCCTCGCAACTGGCATCATGATCACAATCCCCGTCATCATCATCACCCCAACCACAATCACTGCCACCACCATCATGAGCATCGCCATCCAGATGCAGACGTCACGAACATGACCATCCACATCACCACCAGCATCTACTTCTTCGGCAACACAAAAAGCCACATAGTCCCAATTTATTCATCATTGCACCGCTGTACCGGAAGACACTTGCAGGCTGGGCTGACAAATCCTGGATGGGCTTCTCCAAAATCGGGAAGTACTGCCACCAGATCAAGTTCACCACGCGGATTTTGTCGACCCCGGCCCGCACCACGTGCTTTGGCTTGAATTGCTTCGGACGATCACAGATCGGATTTGTTCGAAAGCGCGTGGAATTGCAGATCTTGAAGTAATGGATTCTGCTTTTGAACCACGGCCAAAAATACTGTTCCCTTCTCCGCGGCGCGAATTCCCTAAACATCCCAATAACACGCGGATGCTCCAGTAGATCGTGGTCACTGCCCATGGTAGTCGAGTCGGTCCGCATGAGAAGAATGGCAGCTCTTCCCTTTGCCAGGTCCTTCTTCACCTTCTTATCACGAGATGAAGCAAAAACCACGTCGGCAGTCTGTGCCGAAGCCGCGAAAACCAAGCCATATTGGCCAGCGACCTTCTTGCTCATGACCTTCTTGGGCAACCTGTCGATCGGGTGGAAGAACACGCTGTGCTTCCCAAAGCACCGGCACTCAGGCCCTGAAACGGGAGCGATCTTTGTCACGCCATCCTCGTCCACTGAAAATGTCTTAAAATCCTTTGCAACGTCTGCTTCTGGCTTGAAGTCGCCAAGAGCGAGGCTTGGCGCGGTAAAGCCTTCCCTGTCCGAGTCCCCGACCTCTGACACGTTCAGGTCTTGCAGATCCCCATCCTCGCTTGCGGTGTCGAGGTCGGTGCCCGAAACTTTGCTCGGTGTTGCAGGGTCTGTCTCTATTGGATCTTGCAGAAAGGTGGTGAGCACTTTACTGGAAAACAGCTCTCCCGGTGCAGATGTCAGCCTCACCACCCGCGACAGGCCGAAGAAGCTCAATATGGAGATGACGCAACAAATGGAAAGGCACTTGCATCGCCGAACGTCCGGGGATGGAAGTGGCATGTGAGCACCAGCAGCACGCAGTTGCAGGCATCATCAGCTCTAAACCTAAAGTCCAAACCTGTCTAAACGTTCAGCTTCAACCCCGAAACTGACCGAAACTGAAACGTCGTAGCCACGAGCCTCAAAGCGTTGAAAAATCTCATACCAAGCCTCCTCTGTCCTCGGGTTCGGCTACGGGCCTCTGAACAAAGTGCTTGAATCAGGCGGGGTTGAGGCTGAGCTTATGAAGAGCTTACACGACCTTATTCTTCTCTTGTCTTAACCTGACTATTTACTTGACCTTACATCCTAAACCCGCAGCCGACACTTTCCAAACCCTGCTGAACAAGCTGCATAGTCTAACGACTTGAATGCTGCTGCCAGTAGTTCTCAGCAACGAACCCTGACAAGACGAAGGCCAAGGACATGACAAAGCAAAAGCGGCTCAGAATCATCGTTGGAGTCTAAAGTCAAAACCATACTAAACATGTCAATCGGCACCTGCATGGGCCTGCTCCAGCCGAGACGGCAACGAAGTTGCAGGTTGTCTTGAAGGAGTGAGGAAACAAGCGCTTACAGGGTTCTAGCCGCGCGGCCTCAGGTACTTGCTGTGAAT